TTCCTGTCTTAATAAAGAGTGTTAATCATGCCACAATGAATGGCTGTTTTATTGTGCTAACAGAACTATGCTGCCAAATACCTGTCCTAAACTAATGTTTAAATCTACCTTTTCAAGAGTTGGCCATCAGGACTGACACCAAACTGTACTCTTTTTATTACTATGTTTCTAGTAAATTTGGCAATCAATTGCTTTAAATTCTTACTAATTATAACAACACTAGTCAGAAATACCTGTAGTTAGAGGCATCTTTTGCTTTGTTGCAGTTGACAGATGAGCAACATAGCATAGCTCTCAGTTCTTACATGTATATGATCTTAGCATTTTTACATGTTCAGAAAGGGAAATAAAATAAGACAGAGGCTTAGCTGCCTGATCGGATAATAGATCTGTCTTTATCCTTGGGAGAAAGGATCTATCTTCTGACCTATTGGGTATTTTCAACATGCATTACACAAAACCCTTTGAAAGTTGTGTACATATGTGCACACATTTATGTGCCTGTGTGTATAATATGTAACATAAATATCGGAGCAATGCCGCTGGTTGAAAAAATAGCTTTGACACTGGCAAGGGAAGTAATTTAATCCAGGATTCTGTTTCTTTAGCTGGATGAGTCCCTCATTTTACATGTGTCTTCTGGCTTATGCAATAGGAGAATACACCCACTTTCTGTGTTTCTTGCACCTACTACAACATTAATAGTAGTTCAGGTAGTTGATTTTGGCTTTTCTGCTTCCCCCAATGTTTGGAACAAGTAACTGAGACCCGTTTTATTATAATGTAGGCATTCTGTCAATTCAGGAATCGGGCAGAGGAGTTAAAAAGCTCCATGTTCAGGGCAGAATAATGACTTGCATTCTTTTTTTTTTTCTCCCAGTTAAGTATCACCATGTTGGTAAGCTGCTGAAGGAGGGGGAGGAACCCACTGTATACTCTGACGAAGAAGAGAAAGATGTCAAGGATGCAAAGAAAGACTAGAGAGTGCAGCGAGGAACAATCTGGTTTTGAATTGTAAAGGATCATTTGTAACATTCCACTTCTGTTTTATAAGTTGCAACAGCAGCAATGCTTACAAAAGGTCCAGAGTTACAGTGAGTTGCTTCTATTCAAAGGTTTTCTTTTCAAATTCAGTGGTAAACTACTAAAGGTCTGAGATTTGTCTTCCTTTAAAACTGCATAATCTGAAGTGTGCACAAAAAATGTCTGTGCAAAAGTAAATCTTGGCAATAAAGGACTACTCCTGTTTTTCTTCTATCGTCATTTAGTGCAGAGTAGGCTGAAATCCAGATTTTAACTAAGAACCTAGCACTGCAGGCACAAGCATGAGAGTAACTTCACGTATGCAACACAGATTCCACTAACTCTTGTTTCACATTAGTTCTGCAGGATCTGGGCCTTGGATTGTAATTCCTCCAGAAAAAGGGCTATATTTTATTTGTCCACCAAGCATCATGCTCATTTGTTGTGCAATGTAATTCAACATTAGGTAAGATAATTTGGCTTTTAAGGAGTTACATAGCGGCTTACAGATGAAACTGCTTTTAAAAAAAGTAAGAATGTTTGAGAGGTTCAATCACTTTTGGATACTTAAAAAATTAATGAGGACTGATGAATACTTGATGTATTCAGTCATGCATAATGATGCATGGATTAATATTCACTTTTAAAGCACATCTGAAGTGTTACAAAGGTTTAGATACTGAGTGTAACTAGAAATCACTAAAAACCAGGTACATCATGAAGTGTGACTCAACTGGACTATTCATTTATATTTCCTCTTAGTAAAACTCTTCTGTGAATTTTAATGAAATGGTGTTAAACAGGGAAGATAAGCTGCAATTGATTCCTCAGCCTAATAAAGGTGACTTGCTGGTATGGCGTGATTATGAAGTGCCCTTTTACCTGGAGCTTTAACCAGCAGAAAAATGTTACTGGTCAACATGCAAGTTTCCTGTACAAAACAAAACACCACGGTGTAAGCTGTCTCAGCACTGAGGCGTTTGTTGCTGTGGAGCATTGCCATTAAAAGAAACAGCACAATCTCCTGCAACCTTGTACCGGCGGGACCTTTGAATTGCTTTAAACTTACTTGCTCTCTTAGCTCACATCTATGCTTAATTACTAGGTTTGTTCTGACTATGTAACCTAGTCTCCTCCCAGAGCGGGCTGGGTAAATGGATTATGACCAAGGGAAGATGTAAACATGCTTCATCATCATGTGCAAAACTGACCACTCGTGTTTCTTGTCCAGGTGATTCTGCTTCGGTGCCTGTCTGGGGTAGTTCTCCCTGTTCGGTTTCTCTGGTTCAGCTATCTAGCTGAGCTGTTTCAGTTTGGCAACATGACCAAATTGACAAACCGAGTCCTGAGTGGGAAGGTGTAAACTAGGCAAAATTGTTTAGAAGTAGAGTGCATTGCACAACAGCAGCTTTCATAAACAAGTTGACACATGTTAAAGTGCCTGAGACCACCTGTGGTGAAAGCAAACAACTTTCCCTCGGTCCTAACACTGTCATGGCATTTTCTTCGGGTTACAATGGGCCTTCAGCTGAAGAGTGCTGTCATTTGAGCCAGACAGCTTGCATAAAGTGGTACTGTATGAGCTACCCAACGGAGGTCTACAGACTCATGTAAATCTTGCCATGACCCTTGTGTTGAGATTTTATTTTTAGAGACATTTATACTCCTTGCAAACTACTAACAGTTTACCTCAGATCAGTAATGTGCTTTTATTTAAGGCAGGAAATAAAATACTCTTGCATAACGGTGGTGTTTGTTTTTATTTACTGCAACTGAATGTGATACTTTATCCTCCCCCAACGTTTCAAGGTTTTTTTGTCTTTCTCCAGTGTCTTACACTATCCAACACATACAGTATGTTCTAACTGAATGCCTGTGAGCATGGTTCTGTAATATAACTTTTACCAAAATATTAAATACAGGCTGTGTTCATATTGTATAACATGCTTTGCTGGTACAGAAACAAACTTAGGCATAAAAAGGCACAAGTAATTGTTAAAGCTGAGCAAAAGCTGGAGCTTTGGAAGGCTGTCACATAGTGGAGCTCGGCTAGGCTGGGCTATAACTTACTCTTCAGCAGACCCAACCATCTGACTCTTTTAAGTTAGTCCGTAACATATCCTGAGGAACTGAATGCTATTTGAAGTATTAATCTTTATGGTACAACATGGTGCACCATAAAGAACAACAACAATAGGTAAGAACTACACAGAAAACCTGCAGTAACGCAAAACAAAGCTTAATGTTAAGCATCTGTGCCTCTTGGGAAGAAAGTGTTGCACTTTGGTAAGAGCAGTAATTTTTCAGAGAAAACAAAGAGAATTTGTTATGAAAGGGGAAGAAGTGAGTCACAAAAGCAGTGTGACTCACTTTTTATTTTCTTCTAATGCACTGGAGAAAAGGGACGGGTTTTAGCTTCTTTTTTGCTCTTTGTTCATTGCAACTTGATCTCTTCGCTCAGCAGTGACCAGCTGCAATGACTAAGCAGAAAGACCTGTACCAGGTAGCTTATGAGTACATCATTAACCAAGCAGGACAAGATGCCCAACTAAGAGCAGAGACTGTCACCAAAGTGTCTGAACACCTGTTACCCAAGAGCCACAAAGCCATACTTGAGGAGCTCTGGGGCAAATAGAACAATTGAGCAGTATCTCATGTCCAACCAGTTCTGTCATACTGTCAACTGCTTTGTAAAATTCAGATACTCTTTTATCTGGACTCTACCTCTCTTAAACGTCCTTATTGGCTCTTGCTTCATGCTGGTTCAGTTAAACAAAAAGCAGCTCGGTAATGAATGTTTAAGTTGACAGTTATGTAAGAAGTTTTACAAAAGGTGAGGCATTTCTATTCATTGCCTGGAATCTCTGGATTAAGGGCTTTGTCTCATAATTGCTGCATTCTTGTATTTCAAGCAGATGGACTGATATAATAATGAGCATTGTGTATTTCTACTTTAAAACGAGCCTGTAGCATTTTGACTTCAGCATTCAGCATAAGGTACAGCCAACAGGCTGTGTGTTTCTGGTAACAAAGCTTACTTCAGACAGCTCCCTTGAGAAGACACTTGTTCTCACTAGACCTGTCAGGAAGTATTGTCATTAGTTGGTACAGGTGGTCAGGTTTGATTGCAGGAGCCACAGCCTTAGTGCCCTCCTTGGTACCTGTCAGAGTAAACTATGTTTCCATGAAAACCCCAACCTCTTGAAACACCAGCCGAGTACAACAGCACACACCAGGCCCAAACTGAAAGGCGCGAAATTATGCCAGCTATGTTTCACATTTCTGCTGCTGAACTATACAAATGCTGCTTTTAATGCATCATTTTTCCTATCAGATGTTCCAATTGTGTAAACATTCTGTGATGCGACATTTATTCCTATAACGAATTAAATCTAAGCTACAAAGCTATACATTTCAAGAGTTTTAAAGCAAGCTGTTACATGTATCTTTAAAGATTAGCCTTCAGGATAATTAAATTATACTGAACAGTCCAGCATATGAGAGGATGAGACTCAAATCAAGTGTGTTGATAGGAAATGTAAGGAATTAATAGTAAACCACTTGAAAACAGGCTCTAAATAACTCCCATCTGTAAGCAAATAGGAAACAAAAGTTCTGTTTCACTATGAAGATTACAGTGGTGTCTCACACCTCAGAATGCACGTGTAGTTTATTCACAATTAGTTTTACAAGGAATGAGCACTTGGAAAGATAGATGATTTGCTGTATCAGTTTCAGTCAATATAGGTGAACGCCAGAAGCAATTACAGAACTGGTGTATTTATTTGTTATTGAATATTGTGACAACATGTTGATAAAGCACTGGAAATTTACACTGAATTAAATCTTTAGTTCCTGTTCCCCCAGCATAACAAAAAGAAATACTTCCTTACATGTAATGGAAAGGTCTGGCTCTGGGAATTGGGGAGCTATGGACACAGAACTGCTTATAGACTGAGAGAGGGGGGAAGTTTGTCATCTTTAATCCACAGATATTGCATAGAGAAAAACTACCCTTGGTATGTCACACTGGTGCAACTGCAACATTGTACACAGTCAACATATACAATAGTTGATCTTCATTATAACTCTATAAAATACTAAAAAGGAGACTTCAGAGAAGCATAAGTGTTCTCCAAAATAGTCAGAAAATATTTCTGTCAAGAAAATAACATCTTTTTAGATAAAAGTAACAGATTAACAGTACTTTGAGTAGCAACCATTTGTCATTCATGACCCTGAAAAGGCACTCAACATCTGAACATGTGAACAGAAAAGACTGATAAAACCCAGCTTTAGAAACCTGTGGGAATCACCAGTATTGAACACTGGGGGAAATCTATCTACCACGAACAATTACAATGTCTTTGTTATTATTACTATTTATTAGAGCAGAAGTTACAAACATAGATAAGATTCTATGTAATGAAGGCAACATTATCACATTAACTTAGTATATTGACATGTAATAAATAAAGAATAGAAAATGAAAGCAGAAATAATCAGTGTATTTAACTTGGAACTGGCCTTCTACATCTTGCTAAGAGACTTTGTCCAAAAGCAATAGTGTCTGTCTTCTAAATACAGCCAGCTGAATAAATACAGATATAACTCAAGCTCCTAGATTGCGTTTTCACATTTGTACCCACATGCAGCACGTTTGTCAACATTTCACAATTCCTCTGGAAATTATTTGTGAGCAAAGTCATACTAAATGGCGATCTCACTGTGTGTGCCTACACAATCTCATGAACAAGCTTCCAACCCGCACAGATGGGGACCGTCAGCACACTGACAGGCACTGCCCTTCCCCTGCCTAACATTCAGAGCTTCGCTTCAACAATCATCCAGGTTCCTGGATCTAGGTTCCAGCACAAGCTCAGTGAATTCCTTCCTCCCAAGGACCAGCAAGTTTTCAGAAACACCTCTAGAATTCTGAATAGAAAACAAGCATTTTT